AAGTAAAGATTGATGATCCTGAACTCGAAAAAATATGAAAGACTACTCTGAAGAGTAATTCGAAAGATTAAATGAGTTGACAAAAAAATTTAGGAGATAGTCTGAAAATTCATAAATTTAAAACGGGTGACTTAATTCCCAAATCGTCCATGGTAATTCTGAACATTTTATCAAAAGATATGTGATCACCTTGTTTCTCTGTTGTGTGGTCCAGTAAAATCCATGTAGCTTTTTGAATGCGCTTGTAGGAGAATATGGTGCCAACTATAACCAAGTTGTAGAAGACACATAGATTTGCAAATCTTTCACCATTTTCTCTCTTATCCTAGTTCATGTCATCCTATGATATCTTCCTGTACGATGTTGTTCATCCCAACCTTGGAAGTTTCATCAGTGCTGATGGCCTGGTGTGTGACAAAATCTCAGCACGGATACAGAAGTCTCGATCGGCTTTTGCCAACCTGCGTCACTTATGGCGTAGGCGAGATATCCGTTTGCTGACTTAAGGACGAGTGTCTCGGAAGTATTGCTCGTATATCCTGGGACAACCGAGTAAGCAATGCTGTCGTTAGGAAACGGGTGCTAGGTTAGGATGGCAGGTCAATAGATGAAGTATTAAAACTTGATCAGTTGAGGTGGTTGGGATATGTGTTACGAAAGCCCAACCACCCACTGCCTCATCGAGCTATGTTTTGTGGTTTAGAAATAGGTTGGAAGGAAGCTAGGGGCGGCCAGACCAAGACATGGCAGAAACCCATAATGTCACTGACAAGTACATTAAGTCATCTCATTCTTTGTGTTCTCTCAAATAGTAACCTTCTGAATTCCTCATCGCTTTATATTTTTCTTTTGAAGTTTATTTCACTAGATTCTTATTCTTGAATAATATATTCGAATCCTAATCTCTCCGATTACTGCTAATACTTTTGAATTGACATTTACATCTCTGTGCTAATGTGGTATGGCAACTTGAACTGATGTACATGCGTACGTACGGAGTACTATGTGGCTGTTGATTGATTGACCTTGGAGTTAAGAACTTGCATCAAGATGATCAATTTGTTTCATGGATATTTATCTAGGATTGAATGGAGCCTCCCATAAAACTGATCTTTTCCGTTTGTTACTATCGTTGGTGGACCCATAATACTGGATGACATTCACTGTGATCTCATCTTTTGTTTCTAAGGATGCGTCGATATTTCTGGGTTCATGAGATCCTCATGCTATAAGCGCTTCCTTAGACAGAGTGCGATTCTTTGCGTAATAGTCCCTCTTTTCCAGAACTACAATACAATACCATCTCTTTCAATGTCGGTCTTTTCTTTTCTGCACCACCACGAGTTAATATCGCTTTATTTCTGCAACCACTTAAATGTTCCTCCCGGTTCCCTATACTATTATACCGACATTCTTTGTACTTATGTTAATCGTTGCTCTAGTTGTCAGAACGAGCACCCGCTTGTTGACGTCCAAAACATACTTGGCCTTCATCATGAGGTGTCACAATTCTTCTAAATGAATATTCTCCAGTCTGCAGGATAGAGGTTTTATTAAAAATCATAATTTCCAATGTAGTATATATAGCTTAACGCCTGGAATTCAAGTTTATAATTTAAAATTGATTCTGACTGCAATACACTATTGTATTAAAAACTCAAGTAAAAAAATCATGGTCATATGATGCGCAAATTAATCTTAATGAATATAAGCAGACATAGACTGTGTTCAATAACAAATCCAATGAAGAGAAAATATTCTTTTCAATCATTTCACTTACTTTAACTGTACAATTGTATTTTATAGTTATGTTTATCTTTTAAAATAGTAGTCAGTAGTAAAATAGTATGGTATGATATAAAACCGATTATTATTATTATTATTACTATTATTAACGTTGACAAATGAGTATGATATTGCTGTCATATATGCAGCTGTACAATTTGAAAGAGTGTAACTTTGAAATGGTGGACAAAGCTCAGGTGGATGATTGTGGTAGAGTTTCATTATTTGAGTTGAATGTTTTGGTGGTGGAGCTTTCATTGTTCTTCTTCTGAACAATATCATCAGCACAAGCTTCAGATAGAAGTGAAGCATTCGAATTTCTCCACGTTTGACCTGTAGCTTGTTCTATTAACCTCGATCTTGATCAGAGTTAAACATAAGATCAAGAAACAGATCAAAGGGGACAGAATCAAAATAAAGATCCAGATATCGACGATTTTAAGGTCAATAACAACCAATCAAAATCGAGGATAACAGAACAAGCTACGAGTCAAAAGTGGAGAAATTCGAATACTTCACTTCTATCTGGAATCATGAATCAATTAGTGCTACACCGCTATTAGAATTTTGGAAGCACTAAACAGCCATTTATTCCTAGTATTGGACTCTTCAGTAGTGCATATCCACGGAACCCGCACACAAGGATCGAAGCCAGGACCCTTGGCTGCTCGCGAACACCTAACGTTGAGACCATTGAGTTGGCATCCAAATTTGGTAATGTTTAACTTCGTTAAATCCGCAGTGTTGTGCGATCCTATCCATCAGATACGGCGTGTAACTGCCCCACCCGACACAGTTGAACTCCACTGGTCCTAGGTTCGACTCCTGCTTGCAGGGTCGTGGATGCGATCTGCTAGAGCGTCCCGTACTTGAAAAAACGGCTGTCCACTTCTTAGAGAGTTCTAATAGTGGTCTAGCATTAATCAATTCATAATTTCAATGAAATTCAACAATCTTCACAACCCTATAATGACTATTATAGATTATTATTGTATAATTATGAAGTAGTTAAATTTTCAGGTTTGCATGTAATATTTATCATGAGCTTTCCATTAACCCATAAAATATTACCATATAGTTTACCGTTCTTGATTTATCACCACCTACTTCCTATTCACAGCCACTTTAGGCTCATTCATGTATAATTGTTATTTTCCATTTATTGGTTTGATACGATCAAATACATGTATGAAATATATTATTCGTATAGCGGAGAATAGTTATGGACTTCTTTCTCTAGGCTAGGCAAGAAGTTGTCCAATAGAGGACTTTGAAGAACGAAGCTGTGAGTTACGGTTTCTAGTGCTAATTAGCATGTCATTCATTGTTCAGCTCAGGAACACAATCACAGGAACTGATATTCTCATTTGGTGATTTATCATGTGATATTGATGTATGTTATAACGTACTTATGGAATGAAAAATTAAAAAACTATACACGATATATATAGGTAAAATACTGTGTATTAGTTAGTTCATGAAATAAAGGTAAAAGTAATAACAATCTAGTTTAATTTCAACTAAAATATTAATAGCATTTTGTGTAATGAATCATTCATCAAGAATATTTGTCTTCCTGGACCTTAAGGTGGCATTTGACTCCGTGGATCGTGAGGTTCTGTGGCAGTGTCTGCCATTAAAAGTTGTACCAAAGAAGTACATTAACTTCATACAAGCTCTGTACTCGAACACCACTGGTCGAGTGAGAGCTTATTGCAAGCTGTCACCGGAATTCTTTACTTTAAGTGGTGTCCGTCAGGAATGTCCACTTTCCCCATTCTTGTTCAATTTTGTCATAGACATGCTCCTATATATAACCTTATCCTTCTATAAATTTTCAGGAGTAGTAGTAGACCTTCTACCAGGAAAATCACTTGCTGACTTCGAATGAGCCATTGACATAGCTCTATTCGGTGAAGACGCTGACAAAATGCAATCTTCTTGCTACCCTAAGCAACAATGCAAGCATATTCTGGATGCGGTTCTCCCCGTCGAAATGTTGCTTCAAGATTGGGTCGCGTCGGTACCTGAACTAGTGATAAGGAGTGCAGTAGTAGAGGGTGTCGACCGCTTCACTTATCTGGGGAGTCTCATCAGTGCTGATAGACTGGTGACTGACGAAATATCAGCTCGGATACAGAAGGCTCGACTAGCTTTTGCCAACTTGCGTCACTTATGCCGAAGGCGAGATATCCGTTTGCTGACTAAAGGACGAGTGAACTGCGCGGTAGTTCGCTGTGAAACGTGACCAGTCAGAGTAGAAGATATTCGTAGATTAGATTGTGTAATGAATAAAAGATTAGTGCATAATATTTATCTCATCCTATTAAAGAATTATTATCGGAATATACCTATAGGCATTTAACTGACATTACACATACACAAGGGGGACTACCGTTACTTAACATACTTTTAAGTAGTACTATGATATTTGATACAAAGAAAAGGTGTTGAATAACAATATCAGTTAGTATTAATTAAAAAAAAACGTGAACTTATTCAGCTCTCAAGTATCCTCAAAAAGTTAACTATGAATCTTCGTGAAAAAAAAAACAAACGTGTATATTTTCATTAAAACATGAATTCTCTTTTTGCACATTAAAAAAAATCTATGGTTTAGGGCGTGAGAAAAAAAAGAATTTTCATTTCCAATATTCAAAAGTAGGTTAACTAACCACCATGGAAACAAAAAAAAACACACAATAGCGAAATAGACAAACTTATAGTTCATCAAAAAAACAAGAAAGAAAGAGATTCATTATATTATGAAGCATCAGAATATGACTGGGATCTACAAACATCAATCCATCAACGCAACGCATCACTCCATTATATCAATAAATTGAAAAAAAGAAGTACACTTTTGAAGACAATTTTAGTTTAGGATTGAAAAGTAAGCAGAGAAAGAAAGAGACAGTCAGTATGAATACACAATAATAATAATAATAATAATAGTACATAATTTAACATAAAATTTATCAAATTTCAATGTCAACTGTAGTGTGTTTTTCTTGTTTTCTGTTAACAGAAGAAAAGACTTTGTAAACACTATTATGTATTTATATATATTTATATTGGAGTCCAGCTGAATTGGCCATAGAATTCACGCCCAGATTCTCTTCAAGTATAAAGGTGATCTCAGTTAGCAGAAAAGATCAACTGATAATAGTCATGAGGTGCATATTCTATATATATATATATATATATATATATATATATATATATATATATATATATAGAATAATTGCTACATTTAATCAAATTGAAGATTGAACATCGGAGAAAACTAAAAGAAGCTCAGGTTTGTTAAGAAAAATAATAATAATAATTATCACAATAATAATAAATTACAAATAATGATGATATGTTATAATCTGTTTTTGATTAAAACAAAAACAAGCACAACTCGACAACACAAATCAAGCAAGATCAGTGCAGAAGAGAAAAAAAAACAAGAATCAAGTCACACATTGTACATAAATTCAACTTGTGAAAATAATCATAATCATGATAATAATCAATAATAATCGTGATGGTTGTTGGCCTTTTTTTGTTTTGTGTACAATGTTGTAAAAAGTCGGGGATCATGAAAACACTGGTGGACTTTGATGAGCTTTTCTAAAAACAAAAAAAAGAGAGAAACAATTGACTGAGTGAACATTTTTTTAAAAAAAAAATGTGAAAAGTATTGAATTTTTTTTTTCTAGTGATTGATCACGTCTAGTTTTGTTGTTGGTGATGTTTCTCTATTTACGGTTAGATTATTTATTACATTTGTCAAGTAGCGGTCAGTTTAAATATCAGCTTTTACATGAATGTCATTAATAATTAGTTAGTTAGTTAGTTAAATTTTCCAGCTATCTTCTACTAGAGAATTTCAAATGTCACTTTGCTCATTTCAATATACAGTGTACCTCATAGCTAAGTACATGAATATGATATCCCCTAATAAACATAGAAGTATATATCATATATTGATTACTGATTAGTTTTACGATAAATTCTTAAAGTAACAAACACCGATGGTCTATAGACCATTTGGATTATAATTTAAATGGTCTAAATACACACAATGGTCATTCATTACTAAGCATGAATTTCATTTAACCTTGTTTGGTTCAAGTAACCACAATATTCACTCCTCAATTCTCTTAAAGTATTCAAGTGATATCACATCAGTTAGCGGAAAAAACCAACTGATGATAATAGTTATGAGATGTATACAGAATAATAACTTGAACTCTTGAAGTTCGCAAAAACAAAACACATAGACAACTATGCTATTATTATTATTATTATTATTATTATTATTATTATTACCTTCAAAAATGTTAGCCCAAAAAATTAATCTATCTGAATTCAAAACAAACAACGTACAATTAGCGAAGAAGATTCTGGATTGTTGGATTATTAATAAAACTAAAAAAAGGGATGAATAATACATGAGTGTGAGAGAGAGAGAGACAGAACTAATTTTCCAATTCTTTTAAAATAAGTTTTTTTGTTTCTCTTCTCTACACAATCGAAGATTCCATGAATAACAGTAAAAATAAAAATGGTTATTATTATTATTGTGAAAATCCCATTGTTGGTGCTGGAGACGTTTTAGATTCCCAGAACTCACTTGGGAAGGATCCTAATTTTGGAATTTTTTTCATCTCTTCGCATATAAGTTGGTCGGTTGATCTTGAGCTTACATATCCCGCTCGAAAAATCCTTGATTGTCATCGGTTGATGCATTAATTTAGTATGCTATTTTGTGGCTCTTCCAAGGACGTTGCTATCATTGTATAAATAAGCTTGATTTGTGTGCTTAGCCATCACGTTTTTTATGGGTGCTTGTAGAATAGACTTTCTACAGCTTATCAAGACTTTTTGCTAAAGTTAGCCGAGGCTGGGACAACGGATTAGAATAGCCTATCATGTCACTGCATCATTTGTCTTCGCACTCGTTTAGCGAGTGAGATGAATTCGTAATAGTTTCAAGTATATCAGTTGGATAATTTGATTATTACGTGTAATTTTGTTTAACCAGCCTATAGAATTACTAGTTGTCATATACAAATCGTAATAACGATAAATCAATATATATATATATATATACTTTAAAAATGAGCATTGTAATTCACGTTATCGGTAGTTGGATAAGTGGAGTTTATTGATTGGTAGTGAAGAAGAAAAACAACATCATCACTGTGTTTGTTATGTGAATTCAAATTAAAACTGATCACACACACACACAGAGATAAAATCAGTAATTTGAAAAAATCACATGAATTATTTTTCAAACAGTTTACAAATTATTTCATGATTAAACCTGTATAAAACTACTACTACTCGATGACTGATTACCCTTGATCGAGAATAATATTAGCCTATTGACAACATGGAATTAAATTAGTGTAGTGTAGTTCATAGTTGAATGATTCAACTAACAAGTTACAGTTTCACATACCATTTAACATACTGATATACGCACACACACAGACACACACACTTACTTTCACTACAGGTTGAAATTTAAAATTTTTTAATGCTAGAATTAGATGATCATCACTTAATTATTTAATTCACTTTAAACATTGAACATTAAATGATCAATGTAAAAACAAAAAATCAAACTAACAATAATCAACATTATCATCATCCATTTAGATTGAAGCAAAATAAATCGATAACCTAATTTTATTGGGATCAATCGAATGTTCGAATAAATATTGTGTAAAAAATTTCAACAAATACTTTCACTTTTAAACTTGACATGAAATAATTATTGAAACTTGAACTCATGAATAAATATGAGAGGAATAAACACTTGACTCAATGAGATGAAGTGCAAGACATCTATTATTATTATTATCATTTAATAGAAATGTGTACGCAATATAACAAAACTGACGTGAAGTATTTTTTTTTGTCTGTGTCATATAAATATGAATATGATGAGTAATTTAACATAAACATTCTTATTTCATGTAGGTCTAAATAATAATACTAGTGGTAGTGAGAAAACCGCCACCTAACCCCAAGATACACCAAGTTTTTGTTAGTACAGAATATAAGGCAAAAGATAGGAGAGGTAACTAAAATAATATACGGCTAGTTTATGTAGTTTCTGATCATGTTGTAGTGAACGAGAACACAGGTGGGGCAACCGGATTGTATTTAACGAAAATTACAGAGTTACTCAGTAAAATTGGAAAACCATATCGTAAATCGTTCATTTGCAAAATATCAGTTCATCATATCGAACTGAACTGTTCCTGTTGCAAACAACATCAATCCATTGTCACTATTCATGCGTTTCATACAATATCCATTGTGTTCTAACTCTTCCTTTCTTGATCTTCCCCCATCTTCTGCTGCCAGACATTACGTTGACACTCACGTCATATACTACTTACAAGTAGCTCGCACCACAGTCATAGGCAAATGATGTAGACTATCCGGATAGGATTTTAGCCCAATCAAAGTAACCAAAATGGCTGGATAAAAGATAGATGACTTGAGTTAGGATCGGTCATGATGATAACATAGATATTTCATCAAAATATTCATGTATTATTTTCTTGATCAGAAAGAAAGTGGATTTGTTGTCAACAATATCAATAATATCAATGTCAATAATTTCTTTTTAATTTTTAAAACATGAAACGGATTAGTAAACCAAAAACCAACAGCAACAACAACAAACTATGCAAACATTGTAACAAAACTTGAGAACACCCATTTAAAAAAACCAGTAACAAGAGCATGAACACATGTGAATACAAAACTAATAGCACAAACCCTTGTTTTGCATAGAAAGCGTAAGTTTAATGCTAACTATAAATAAATTAATTAATGAAAACAGCAAAAGTAACATTAGAAAAGCAAAACAAACGGTTAGTTAGTTAAATTGAAGAAAAAGAGAGGAGAACAATATTTTAAATAAAAAAACAACCCCAGTGAGTACAAGATTGTGGTGGTATACGCTTACTTCATCGTTATCTTTTATTCAATGAAGAAAAGTTATGTAAGTTGATAAAACGACTACTAGTTTAACCAAGACAATTGTACACCAATTGGTTTATGAATAATAAGTTTTGTTTAGTTTAAATATAGAAATCAATGAATTCTATCACACGAATAAATTCAGATAGATAGATAGATACAACGCAGAACTTCGTACATAAGTACATCAGTTCAGGTTGCCGTACCGCATCAACACAGACGCAACTGTCAGTTCAAATCCAATAGTGATAGCCATAGTAGAAGAATTACTGGTAATGAAGATGATTAGGGGTTGAAGATATGATTGGAGAAGTATAATTCAGTGAGATAACTTTAGAAGGAGAAAGATAGAGACGATGAGGAATGCAGAAGGTTAGAATTAAAAAGCACACAAAGAGTGGATGCACCTGCACCATTGCAAACGATTCTGAGCCATGTCATTCAAGATTTCTAACCATCAGTTAGTATCGTCTCGTCGACCCCAACAAGATAGCCTACATCTACTAAAATGACTCAGTCCAATTGTCAGTGACTTCATGGATTTCTGCCATGTTTTTGTTTGGCCCTCTGTAGCTTTCTTTCAACCTACTCCTACACCACAAAACATAGCTCGTCGATGCAGTCGGTGGTTAGGCATACGTAACACATGTCCCAACCACCTCAACTGATCAAGTTTCACTACTTCATCTATTGATCTGCCATCCTTACCTAGTACTCGTTTCCTAACGACAGCATTGCTTACCCAGTTGTCCCAGGAAACACGAGCAATGCTTCGAAGACATCTATAGTCGAATACTAATAACTTACGATTATCCCTTACTCTTTTACTGGGCATGTTTCGCAACTATATGGTAGGACGGAGCGAACTACTGCGCAGTATACTACAACAGGCGATCTTTCGAAACGCAGCATTAGTGTTTATCCAGTATAGATTCATGCTCTGGATTTTTAGCAGTTTGTATGAAGGCTGGTACTATTCAGCTGCTGACACTGAATTTAGTAAAGTTAGGAACAATGAACCTAAAATCCGACACTTCCTACTTCTTAACGTTTTTCGTTTCAGTCGACAATTAATATCAGTTATGTAGATGGATGAGAGTCCTATAGTTGAAAACAGAATACCATATCTAAAACTATTAACTGTATGTATTCCACCACGAAATTATGGTTTCTAGTCAACTGAATAACTTCTTCATCACTCTCGTTTGGGGATAAGAATTACAAAACAAACAATCAGTCAATCAACTAAGATAGACTAGCACAAAGCACATAGCAATTTTCACAGCATTGTCTTGTTTGAAATCTTGAACAAAACATGAAGACTAGATGAATGCAATTAAAACGTTCGAGATAAGCACAATAGATTAATTCAGAAATTACAAAACAATGAATCATGTTATATTTCGAAATAGAGAAAAAGAAAAGAATTTCATAAAAATAAAAATGAAAAACCAAAGCATTCTCTCTCTTATTCTTTTGCTTTCAAAACATTTAGTAGTAGTAGATAAGTAGGTAAGTATGCAACCAAATCAAATAGAGTAAGTAGGTAAAAGTTTATTCAATCAACAAAGCGATATGATTGAGTATGATGTGTGATAGCATGATGATGATGATGTAATGATAAGGTTGATGATGATGATCAAGATGGCATGCAGAAGTATTTTTCTTCATTTTATCAACTTACTTCAATATGCACACCGAATAAGACAAGCAGATGGAGGAAATGCTGGACTATACATATGTATATATACATACATACATTACATATATACATAAACAGTAAGTCATTGATAATTGAAAACATAAATTATATATCATCTATACAAAGGACACTTGAAAACTACTTTACAATGAGTGTATAAATGTGTTATTATTTATGCAAATTAACTGCACAGAGAGTATAGATTAAAAAAACGCATAATAATGATTTGATATGATTTTGTGTGTTTAACTTAGCCTTAATTAAATAAATAATTTAAGAGGAAAGCAATGCAACAAAATTTGACTGGAACCATGTGTTCTTTTACCAGTGATGATGTGTATAGGTAAAAAAACATCCTCTAACTAACTAACTAACTAACTAACTAACTAACTAACTAACTAACTAACTAACTAACTAACTAACTAACTAACTAACTAACTAACTAACTAACTAACTAACTAACTAACTAACTAACTAACTAACTAACTAACTAACTAACTAACTAACTAACTAACTAACTAACTAACTAACTAACTAACTAACTAACTAACTAACTAACTAACTAACTAACTAACTAACTAACTAACTAACTAACTAACTAACTAACTAACTAACTAACTAACTAACTAACTAACTAACTAACTAACTAACTAACTAACTAACTAACTAACTAACTAACTAACTAACTAACTAACTAACTAACTAACTAACTAACTAACTAACTAACTAACTAACTAACTAACTAACTAACTAACTAACTAACTAACTAACTAACTAACTAACTAACTAACTAACTAACTAACTAACTAACTAACTAACTAACTAACTAACTAACTAACTAACTAACTAACTAACTAACTAACTAACTAACTAACTAACTAACTAACTAACTAACTAACTAACTAACTAACTAACTAACTAACTAACTAACTAACTAACTAACTAACTAACTAACTAACTAACTAACTAACTAACTAACTAACTAACTAACTAACTAACTAACTAACTAACTAACTAACTAACTAACTAACTAACTAACTAACTAACTAACTAACTAACTAACTAACTAACTAACTAACTAACTAACTAACTAACTAACTAACTAACTAACTAACTAACTAACTAACTAACTAACTAACTAACTAACTAACTAACTAACTAACTAACTAACTAACTAACTAACTAACTAACTAACTAACTAACTAACTAACTAACTAACTAACTAACTAACTAACTAACTAACTAACTAACTAACTAACTAACTAACTAACTAACTAACTAACTAACTAACTAACTAACTAACTAACTAACTAACTAACTAACTAACTAACTAACTAACTAACTAACTAACTAACTAACTAACTAACTAACTAACTAACTAACTAACTAACTAACTAACTAACTAACTAACTAACTAACTAACTAACTAACTAACTAACTAACTAACTAACTAACTAACTAACTAACTAACTAACTAACTAACTAACTAACTAACTAACTAACTAACTAACTAACTAACTAACTAACTAACTAACTAACTAACTAACTAACTAACTAACTAACTAACTAACTAACTAACTAACTAACTAACTAACTAACTAACTAACTAACTAACTAACTAACTAACTAACTAACTAACTAACTAACTAACTAACTAACTAACTAACTAACTAACTAACTAACTAACTAACTAACTAACTAACTAACTAACTAACTAACTAACTAACTAACTAACTAACTAACTAACTAACTAACTAACTAACTAACTAACTAACTAACTAACTAACTAACTAACTAACTAACTAACTAACTAACTAACTAACTAACTAACTAACTAACTAACTAACTAACTAACTAACTAACTAACTAACTAACTAACTAACTAACTAACTAACTAACTAACTAACTAACTAACTAACTAACTAACTAACTAACTAACTAACTAACTAACTAACTAACTAACTAACTAACTAACTAACTAACTAACTAACTAACTAACTAACTAACTAACTAACTAACTAACTAACTAACTAACTAACTAACTAACTAACTAACTAACTAACTAACTAACTAACTAACTAACTAACTAACTAACTAACTAACTAACTAACTAACTAACTAACTAACTAACTAACTAACTAACTAACTAACTAACTAACTAACTAACTAACTAACTAACTAACTAACTAACTAACTAACTAACTAACTAACTAACTAACTAACTAACTAACTAACTAACTAACTAACTAACTAACTAACTAACTAACTAACTAACTAACTAACTAACTAACTAACTAACTAACTAACTAACTAACTAACTAACTAACTAACTAACTAACTAACTAACTAACTAACTAACTAACTAACTAACTAACTAACTAACTAACTAACTAACTAACTAACTAACTAACTAACTAACTAACTAACTAACTAACTAACTAACTAACTAACTAACTAACTAACTAACTAACTAACTAACTAACTAACTAACTAACTAACTAACTAACTAACTAACTAACTAACTAACTAACTAACTAACTAACTAACTAACTAACTAACTAACTAACTAACTAACTAACTAACTAACTAACTAACTAACTAACTAACTAACTAACTAACTAACTAACTAACTAACTAACTAACTAACTAACTAACTAACTAACTAACTAACTAACTAACTAACTAACTAACTAACTAACTAACTAACTAACTAACTAACTAACTAACTAACTAACTAACTAACTAACTAACTAACTAACTAACTAACTAACTAACTAACTAACTAACTAACTAACTAACTAACTAACTAACTAACTAACTAACTAACTAACTAACTAACTAACTAACTAACTAACTAACTAACTAACTAACTAACTAACTAACTAACTAACTAACTAACTAACTAACTAACTAACTAACTAACTAACTAACTAACTAACTAACTAACTCAAGCATATTTTAACATAATGTTTAGTGTAAAATCATGTGTACCGTTTTTCTTGGCAATTACATAATTTACAGCAATTTTTACAACACAAAACAAGAAAGCACTTACCGTTTACCATAAACAAAATGTACAATAAGGAATGCAATACCAAGGCATATATGTATAGAACCAGTAATAAGACATATAATGCCAAGTGTTGGATTTTTTCCGCCTAACCAACTAGCATTAGCTATAATGAATGTTTTTTTGCCACCAAATGAAGTCACTGGATAAACTAGAATGTAAGAGAAGAAAAACAATAACAACCGACAAGACTAATTACTACTACTAATCAATGATCAGTGTTGATAATGGATAATCAAAGTGATAAGATGAAAATTATAAAATTCTGGTTGAGGCCCCCCAGATGATAGACAGAGAGACAGATACAACGCAGAACTTCGTACATAAGTTCAAGTTGCCATACCACGTAGCAGCACAGAGACGCAACTGTCAGTTCAAATCCAAGAGTGATAGCAATAATAGAAGTATTAGCAGTGATAGAGATTAGGGAATGAAGATATGATTCGAGAAGTATAATTCAGTAAGATAAATTTAGAAGGAGAAAGGTAGAGATTATGAAGAATGCAGAAGCTTAGAATTTCAAAGAACACAAAGAGTGGATGCACCTGCGCCATTGCAAACGATTCTGAGCCATGTCGTTCAAGGTCTCTAACCATCGTTGACTATCGTCTTGCGGACCCCAACCAGGTAGTCTACATCTACCAACATGACTCAATCCACTAGTCAGTGACTTCATGCATTTCTGCCATGTTTTTGGTTTGGCCGCCCCTAGCTTTCTTCCAACCTGCTCCTACATCACAAAACATAGTTCGTCGTGGCAGTCCATGGTTAGCCATTCGTAACACATGTTCCAACCACGTCAACTGATGAAGTTTCAATACTTCATCTATTGATCTGCCATCCTTACCTAGCACCCGTTTCCTAATGATAGCATTGCTTGTACGGTTGTCCCGTGATTCTTTATGTTCTCTGAAGTCCTAACCTTCTGAATTCCTCATCACCTTAATCGTTTTGTTTTTAAGTTTATTTCACTAAATTCTACTTTTTGAATGATACTATCGAACTCTAATACCTCTTCGATTACACTTTTACTTACTCTACTACTATAGGATTCGAAGTGAAAATTGCATCTCTGTACTAATGTGGTGTGGTCACATAAACTGATGTACGTACGTAAGAAGTTCTATGTTGTTGTTGTTGACTGACTGACTGACTATTTTCTACAAGATTGTTGATGGAAGTGGTTTTTTGGTCACCTACCATTTTATCAGTAAGTAAAAGCTACTCTTCTTGTTAACTCCGTGAACATTGAACGATCATGTGTATCACGCAATAATTTTAGGAAATTCAGTATGTTAAACACTGAAAGTAATTTGTAAATTTTTATATCAAAGCTGTATATAATTCCAGCTATGTTGAGAACACCATATTTGATATGATATTGACAAGTGACCAAAGTTTATTTCGGAATTTTCAAAAGAGGAAAACGTCAACCATCATAATTATAAGACAAGTCTTCCCAATAGATATGAATTTTTGCACATGTTTCTACTTAATGAGTCATCACTCCGTCTGCTAAAAATGAGATATCAACGAAATCCAATTTGTTATAACATTCGTCCACACTAGTGTAAGTGATTACCGTGTATAGATTGTCTAACTGTTTTAGTTCTTCTTTATTGATATTCTGACCTACAATAATCAGTGTGTATCTACACGGAACCAGTAGTATGGATCTGGTTAACTAACAGTCTCACTAAATGGTCCGTTTTCTAAGAAATTAGCTAAAATTTGGCCTACAAATGAAGTCATAACTATTGCATCTATTTGTCTATAATAAGCATTGTTGAAGACAAAATAAACGTTCAGTGTAAACCTAAAAGAGTAATTTCTTTCAAACTACTGTCAATACAGTCATTGTGAATTTAGTTTTCAGATATTTGTAATGTGAGTTGAACTTGTACTCAAAATTTTAAATGGCTCAGCACTTGAAGTGATAACCATGAAGACTATCGAATAGATTATCCGATTTAAACGATTAAAATGAAAGCTGTAACACATTGGACACTCGTTTGTTTACTCCAGTTCATATTAGTATCTAAGTGAAAATTTGATCAAATATATTGTTCGTGCTTACACACAGTAGAATTTTGTACAGTTCAAATTACACAGAAATGTATCCTGACAACAACTCAGAAGACAGAGAGAAAAATCATGGCAAGGGAAGTTTATCTATATTGGGGATGAGAGAATATCATTAATGGAGGTGTATAACGGTTAAGCGCTATCACAGACTGACTAGAGCTAAAAATATACACCATCGGATCCCAACTTAATTAGTTTAAAAACCCGTGAGTCCTAGGGATCCTCAATTCGACCCATTATAGGCTATAAGATGTGCATCACTGAAGAATATTATAACTAAGGCGAATCAACTGTTTGGTCTGTAATTTTGTTTAACTACATTCTGTGATGTAAATTACAGAAGGAAATTAGTTTAGTCAGACAATATTCCACCCTTACTAATGCTGAATTTCCAAATTGCGATTGAAATGAATTAATTGTTGAAATTTCGAAAAAAAAACCTACTGAACATTAGTTTTTTTAGAAGTTGAAACTCATCAGTAGTGTTATACGTAATTGTTATGCTCGTCTCTAGGTATGCTTAAAACTACTACGGGTTCACCTTAGTCGAATAACGAGAACAAAACAATGAACTAGCGTCCAGGTAGGATACTATGATCCAACTGTCCCAAGTGTACCAGCAAGAAGTCTTGATATAGTGTAGGAAGTGTATTCTACAAACACCCAGCCAGCACACAATGAATCCAATCACTCGTTTATTTATACTCTATAGAGACGTCCTTGGGACGGTCACTAAAATAACACACTAAAATGACACAGTAACCAATCACAGCCAAGAATTTCCCTGATAGGAAATGTAATCTCAAGGTCAACTGATCGGCCCATGAAATAAATCCGAAAAATGAAGATATTTATCAAGCGAGTTCTGGGGATCTAACATCCCAAAAAATAATACATTTATTATGTGCTTCTTACTAAGTTGATTTGATCGTCTTATAATCAGAGGGCAAATGAATTGAATCATCTCTGAGAGGCAGTAGATACCCTTACACTATCGTGGGACACCCGAGTGAGCAACGCTGTTATTAGGAATCGGGTGCTAGGTAAGAATGGCAGATCAATCGATGAAGTATTGAAACTTCACCAGTTGAGGTGGTTGGGACATGTGTTGTGTATGCCCAACCACCGACTGCCTCGTCGAGCCTTGTTTTGTAGTGTAGGAATAGGTTGGAAGAAAGTTAGGGGCGGCCAAACCAAAACATGGCAGAAATCCATGAAGTCATTGACAAGTGGACTGAGTCATGTCGGTAGTTGTCGACTACCTGGTTGGGGTCCGCGAGATGATAATAATCGATGGTTAGAGACCTTGAATGACATGGCTCAAAATCGTTCACAATGGCGTCGGTGCATTTATTCTTTGTGTTCTCTCAAATCCTAATCTTCTGGATTCTTCAACACCTCTAGTTTCGACTCTCTAAACTTTTCTCACTGAATCATACTTCTTGAATAGTATCTTCTAATCCTAACCTCTCCGATTACTTCTAATTCCCTTACTACCTCTTCTATTAATGGATTTGAATTGACGATTACTTCTCTGTGCTGATGTGGTATGGCAACATGAACTGATGTACCTATGTACAAAGTTCTACGTTGCATCTGACTGACTGACTGACTGACCTACACTACAAAAAAGGATGGGATAATTTACAAACATCTGATATATTTCTCATTTATAATTATGATGTTAAACTGTGATTAAATTTACTCTTTTTTTGAAAAAAAAACAAAAGAATAAAAACTGAACATAATGAAAAGTAAATTTTAAAAGAACAAAAGATAAAAAGATAATCATCTACTTACAATAATTAATTGTAATTTCATACGTTCCTGCAGGTAAACCATCAGCGAATTCATCTTTATGAACTACATAAGCGCTTAATTTACGAAATGTTGGCAAAGCAGCAATTCTCATCCATACAATTAAAGCTTCATCAGTTTTAAATGGATTTGTTGATCTTTCTTGAATTGATTTAGGCCAATTAGGTGGTTTAATTGTATTATTGAGAGCTATACATAATTATAATTATGAAATGAATATGAAAAATCTTATTTTTAACCAAAAAAAAAATGGTATTAAACTAACAAAGTTCATCATTTAACAGTTATATACAATTCATGAAGTCAATGACAAGTGGACTGAGTCATGTTGGTAGATGTCGACTATCTGGTTGGGGGTCCGCGAGATGTATTTCACCAATGATTAGAGACCTTGAATGACATGGCTCAAAGTCGCTTGCAATGGTACAGGTGCATTCATTCATTGTGTCCTCTCAAATTAACCTGCGTCACTTATGGCGCAGGCAAGATATCCGCTTGTTAACTAAAGGACGAGTGTACTGCGCAGCAGTTCGCTCTGTTCTACTATACAGATGCGAAACATGGCCGTTAAGAGTAGAGGACATTCGTAGGTTACTAGTCTTCGATCATAGGTGTCTCCAGAGCATTGCTCGTGTATCCTGGGACAACCGAGTAAGCAATTCTATCGTTAGGAAACGAGTTCTAGGTAAGGATGGCATATCGATAGATGAAGTAGTGAAACTTTATCAGTTAAGGTGGTTGGGAGATGTGTTGTGAATGCCCAACCACCGACTGCCTCCTCGAGCAATGTTTTGTGGTGTAGGAGTAGATTGGAAGAATGCTAGGGACGGCCAGACCAAAACATGACAGAAATCCATGAAGTCACTGACAAGTGGACTGAGTCATGTTCGTAGATGTAGGCTATCTGGTTGAGGTCCGCGAGATGAAAGTCACCGATGGTTAGAGACCTTAAACGACATGGCTCAGAATCGTTTGCAATGGCGCCAGTGCATCCACTCTTTGTGTTCTCTCTAATTCTAACCTTCTGAATTCCTCATAATCTCTATCTTTCTCTTTCTAAATTTACTTTTCGAATCATATCTTTGCCCCCTAATCTTCTCCATTACTGCTAATAAATCTACTATCGCTATCACTCTTGGATTTGAGAACTGACATTTGCGTCTCTGTGCTGATGTGGTATGGGGCAACCTGAACTGATGTACTTATGTACGAAGTTCTGCGTTGTGTCTGTCTGTCCTCTCAAATTCTTACCTGAATTCCTCATCTCTATCTTTCTCTTTCTAAAGTTATCTCACTGAATTATACTTCTCGAATCATATCTTCGCTCCCTAATCTTCTCCACTACCAGTAATTCTTCTACTATGGCTATCATTATTGGATTTGAACTGATAGTTACGTCTCTGTGCTGACATGGTATGGCAACCTGAACTGATGTACATAAGTACGAAGTTCTACGTTGTAACTGACTGACTGACTATATAGCAGGAGGTCAACATCAACTGATGGATAAATGCAAAAAATAGAAGGTTCTGAAACATTAAACATTAATTCTATTCTTCATATTTCTTTCATCTAAAATCTACTTGTATGATTTTTTACAAAACAAGTTTAAAACTAGCAAGCCTATTTAAATAAATCTGAAAAATAAAAATACACAAATTAGTTTATCCTATCAGTATTAGAAGATTATAGCTGAAAGATGTACATTAAATTCTAAAATCATGAATATGTATTTTTCAACTAACCATTAGCATTTAAAGTTCCAAATTTGCGATCAACATCCGAAGGCCAAGCTATACCATTGGTTGTCGTTGTGACAGGAACTTTTATATTATCTTTTCGTGTATACATTACACTAAATGTATCATTGAATATACTATTAGCGATGGAACCACACGGAAGTATTGATTTATCATCAATTGATGCATATGGGAGACATGAAGTTAAAGCACTTGGGCTAAGATAAGCTGTACCAAGCAATTGTTCATCATTTTTAGATCGTGCATATCTTCGATGATTTTGATAAAAATTACTTAAACCATAATATAAATAAACAGGTCCAGGTATAGATGATTCAATAGAAATTTGTTTAAAGCAAATACATGGTTGCCCAGAGGCTATTCTTTGTGAACATAATTCTTGAGTACCAGCTTCAGTACAATCTGTATAGTCTACAACATATTCTACAACATTATTTGAAGTAACTAGTAATACAATTCCAATAGGTATCAATGCAAATCCAAAAATTGTAAATGCTATCCCAGATTTTTTAGCAGTAAACATTGGTTGCCATGCTGGAAGTTTCTGTTGGAAGAATGCAGAATTCTTAGGTTTTCTTGATTTCGAAGTTGTGTCTATTAATTGTGAACTCATGGTTTAAAAGTATCTATAATAATAAAAATCGATTATTTAGTGAATTCTTAAAAAAAAAAAGAATTTACAAATACAGAAACTAATGTTACACATAAAACTTTATAAAAAGCCACTTACAAAGTTTATACTTTATGAATCAGAGACTATAGACCAACAGTCAGTCAGTCAGTTGCAACGTAGAACTTCGTACGTAAGTACATCAGTTTATGTCGCCATACCACATCAGCACAGAGATATAATTGTCAATTCAAATCCAATAGTAGTAGAGGTAGTAAAGGTATTAGGAGTAATCGGAGAGGTTAGGATTAGAAGATATTATTCAAGAAGTATGATTCAATGAGAAAAGTTTAGAAAGTCAAAACTAGGGGGTTGAAGAATCCAGAAGATTAGGATTTGAGAGAACACAAAGAATAAATGCACTGGCGCGATTGCGAACGATTTTGAGCCATATCATTCAAAGTCTCTAGCCATCGATTATTATCATCTCGCGGACCCCAACCAGGTAGTCGACAATTACCGACATGGCTAAGTCCATTCGTCAATGATTTCATGACCAACAATAGGAAACATAATTGATAAGTTTATCTTGTAACTATCAGAAATTGAAAGTTCAGTTAAAAATACAATTTAAGATTTATTCCAAGTAAGATTATACTCAATTTTATGACAAATGTAAAGAAAAACTACAGCAGGATAGTCATTATATTTTATTCTGGACCATATCTTGTTACATCCCTAACTACGAGGTTGCACTTTCACTTTGATACCAACTTGAAGGTAGTGAAGGACCAGCTGATGCCACATAAATTATTGGATTTGTGAATAGGATGAGATACTCTGCATGGACGCCCAGAGACAGATGGTTTTCTTGGGAAGCTACTCCCCCAATTTTTGACTTATAAGCCTAATTCGCAAGGCAATCGAGTAACATCAGAAGATGAACTCCCATGGCAAACAATGACTGACAGTAGGTTCACATGCCAGATGTCACCTCAGGGTTCTGGAGCTCATTTACACCATCGGTTCGGAACGAGGTTTTTCCAACTAGTCTGGATGGATCCTTCTTACCCAACAACTTGGTTAAAGCACCGGAAGTCGACATTATGTCCTCTTAACTGTACAAACAACACCCCCGTCATGAGAAAGCTTTGAGTAGGATTTCCCTAGTAGTGGTTGTATACGCGTGGCCATATGAGAGCAGTTCGAGAGGGAGAGACGACCATTCTCACTCTCGATCGTGCCAGGGCATTCGTACTCTCAAGATCATCGGCTTTTAACCAGATGAAAAAGTTCCATGAATGAAACCAGTGTAAAACTAGGACAAACAAAAAAGCAACAAATGACGAAGTTATCTTCCATATGACTATCTTCATCTAAAGGGATATAGCATATTGGATAAAAATTAGTTACGCCCACTCTTAGTGTCACTTTAAATAATTTAACGTTTCCACTATAATTTAGATATGACAGCACAATATATTCCAAGATAAACTTTAGCGCCGATTTAGTATAAATCTACCCAACCTCTAGAAGCTTCTGTAGTTATTCTTCTGTTCGATGTGTTTAACAACAAGAAAATATAGCAGATTTTTCGAAGCAGATTAGTGAAAATTTGAACTGTTAGTCAAGGCAAAGGTACTTTAGTAGCAATAAACTCAAAAACGAAAAGATTTGAAAACATTTCTTAAGACCAGTTACTGTTAATACTTTTTCAGTAATACGAATTAAGATACCTTAAAAGGAAGAAAAACAAGTAGCAACAGACTAGAAATAGCGATATCCTGATAATATAACAAAGAAACGTCATAATCATTGTAGAAAGTACAGGGGCGTCGCAGAGCTGTTAGTACCAGGAAAAATATTCAAGTGTTAGTGTACAGAATGAAAAATCCAACTTCGAGATCAATAGGTTGAATTACGTGAATACCGATTCCGTGTCAGTTCAATCACGACACTAACGGTCATTACTGAACTATCAAGTGAATGGAACTCATAAAATTCATTTACAAAGAGGAAGCACTTGACAACATGATAGGAGAACATTATGGGACCTTAGTCCACGCGACAGAGAATCTAAGATGGTCGTCACTACCGTAGAGAATTCTTAAGACAGATCACACTGCAAAGTCGTGAATGAAAAGAAGTTTAAAGATGTATACTGAAATGAAGACCACCGCAGAAAAAGTGCTTACTCCTACCCTTCCCCTTTCCTTTGGTGATTGACTGGGTTATGAAGGCCTCTACATATCAGAGGGAGCATGGAATACAATGAATAGCTTGAATGCAAATGAACACAGACAGTGTAGCTGCAGTCTCCTGAGCAGCACACCACAACATACACAAGGGAAAAACCAAGGACCTTAGATACAACACATTAAGCACCCACCAAATCACACTTGATGGAAAAGCTCTGGAAGGGATGAAGACCTCCATTTATCGGGTCGGCATCACTAACAAATAGGAATCGCACGGAGATGTGAAGGCACAGGTTGGCAAAGTAAGAAAAGTATTTCTACGAGTGGAGATCATCTAGGACTCAAAACAACTTTTAGTCAACACCGAAGTCAGAATTTTTATGGTGAACAACAAAACAGTTCTATCGTATGGATCTGAAACTTAGAGAACTACCAAAACCATAATTTAAAATATACAAGTATTTATGAATAGCCTTCTACACAAGGCATTCCGGATTTGTCAGTCAGATATAATTAGTACCGACCTACTGTAGTAGAGAACAAACCAACTTACAGCTGAGGAAATTAGGAAAAGACCATGAGGATGGACAGGACACACGCTGAGGATAGCATCATAAAGCCGGCCCTAACTTAGAATGCTCAAGATAAAGGGAGCAGAGGCAGACGAAAACATATTGTTAGGACGTGGATTTTGTCTGGCAGCTGTATATAGTAAACACTTCAATAGTGGACTGTAAAACCATGACTGTGCAAATAGTAAGTTTCGAAGTCATAGAGTCGGCGATTACTGAACATAAAGCGACGGAGAGAATATTGGACTGTTTCCATACGGTAAGGGAAAATACGTTTACCTCGTGCGTGTTCGCTTCTACTTCCTTATCTTTAGGCGGTGGCACTTTTTGATTGCCCAGGTAAGTTCAACTAATCACGAAATTTCTTTGAACCAGAGTTCAAAACCGGGGTTTACAATCTTACCTTATATTTAGAGACCTAAATTAAGAGCCTGACAGCCATGATCAATTTAAGTTCGTAGACCACTTCACATTAAGTGAAGATGTTGTTACATACGTAAACGAGTATTTCAGGAGAAAAGGTAGACGCCATCAACTAAACACAATGCCAGGTTTATAGAGCGGTAGAGAAAGCTACATATATACTTGGCATAAAAATGGGCATGAGATAAACTCCACCATCGTTTGCCATCTGACTTCGTAACTATTTATCATAACTAAAATCGGAATTATTTATCCTCAAAGCTTTTAATATCCATAGTACTCAATACAAGTTTACATACAGAAAGCTACGAGCAATGAAAAGTTTTCTGCGACAAAAATAACACTTCATCTGGCTAGCATTGTGTAGTCAGTAATGAGGTACAAAATTACTTCATCAAAAAAGCACGCCAATCAACTTAGGAAAAAAATGTATTATTTAGAGACCGTTATTATTGACTGCAACACTTTTAGAAGTGAGGACGTGGAGTTTATCTCCACTTCCAAATATGCAGCTTAAAATCACCTCCTTTATCCAAAATTCAATATTGTTTCCTTGAGCTTGTATAAACCGATTGATTTCTTTGCGCTCGATTCTTGTTCTTTCGTCACTGTTCCAGGTATTTGGTAGTCTCCAATTGATGCGTTTCTAGTCATTCGACTACACTAACTTAAGTCAGTTGGCAGTGGTTTTTTATTTTGTATGTCCCGTAACTTGAATAAGTACGTTTGTATTTGGGCAGTAGAACTTCTGTACACCAGCAGCTATCACGTTACCAGGCGGGAAATCAGTTAGTTTCACTGTGCAGAATAATCAGAAAATTCTAATGCTAATTAGAAGATTTCAGAACTAGCTACTGGTAATGAAGATTGTATGATAAGAGTGAAATATAACCAAGGAAGAGGAAGCAGAGATAATAAGCGAGATAGATTAAGTTACTGATCTGAGAAGATGGAACTAATTACACAAAGCAGGTCCCAAGATATATATCAGGCAAAGATGGGCTGTAGTCACCTGGGCTGGAAGAGCATTCCAAGTTGCTACGACTCTTAATGATAAAATGTGTGCACGAACCTGAGTGTTTTGCTCTTTGATGCACAAATTTTCAAGGATCACCTCGAGAGGCTAGGTGTTGATGTTTCGGCAACATGCTCACGTTGGGATGGTCTGGCCTGGATAATATGTTGCTTAATATCTTCGATCCCTAATCTTCTCCATTGCTGCTAATAATTCTACTATCGCTATCACTCTTGGATTTGAACTGACAGTTACGTCTCTGTGCTGACGTGGTATGGCAACCTGAACTGATGTACTTATGTACAAACTTCTGAGTTGTATCAATCTGTCTGTCTGTATAGTGGAAAGTAATTCATTGTGTTCTGTTTTATGTCTGTGAACTGTGGTCTTTAAAAATATAAAAGATTACCTAGTTTTTGAATATCGATACCTTCTAAGCATTGCTCGTGTATCATGAGACTATTAATTGGGCAATGCTGAGGAGGTTCGACGATGTGCAGTTTCTAAATATGCACGCCATGATTCTCCTGTAACTCATGGAGAATGATCCTAAATGCTGGAGTCTATCTTCTGAATTTTATTCTTCACACCCATGACCGATTTTGGTGCTCGCCTCTGCACTCGATCCAAGATATTTGTGTCTCTTGGGCGGAAGAAGTGAGACGGCGTTGTGAACCTCATTGTGTAGGCGCGCATATGTCCTCAACAGCGTTAGGAATTATTCAGAAGTGATAATACCAAGTTGTCTTCACATAAAGTGAAGAGTCGCATTAGCCTTGGCTGCGTCCACCATATAGTTCTAGCTTGCGTGGTTGCAACGAGACACTGAGCGACAGTTTTGAAGGCACGCATTTTCTTTAGCTGCCTGGGTGGGAGAAAAACCATATTCAGGTTTTCATGCCAGTGTGATTAGTTTAAGCTGTCTCGTGAGAAACTCATTTACAACAGATTAGGCTATTCCAACAGTAAGCCGTATAATTTTGCTAACTATATGTTTACTTATCAAGTTTGATTGTAGAGGATTAGATAGCTTGGTGTTCCGTTTGCTTATTCTTCTAGGTCTTCAAATCTAACTTTAATGTTCTCTTCGGGTAAATCAAGAATAAAAAGCATTCAAAAGGCATTGCCAATGTAATCGAATTGTATTTTCAGACTAGGTGAAAATAGAACCCTCGTGTGTCTACTATCGTCATCGATTTCGCTGTAAGCTAAAGATATTAGAATATGGAGAGTGATAAAGAAATGAATTTGATAGCATAAAGCCACAAAGTTACCCACAGAAATTACTTGAATGGCAAGTACTGCCATACCCTTCAATACGCACTTTCTTACTGATAGGTTACCCAGATCACGCAATATACACAGTGACCCTAATACAGAAACACAATTAATTGATGTCATCTATAGGCAAGAGATGGAAACATTTCCTCTCTATAACCCCAAAAGATTCTAAAATTCTACGGTGAATACGTACAACTTTTAGCCATGTAGATGCTAGGGTATTTTGGACTTTGCATCAGATTTCTTCTTGTCTTCCAAAATAGCAGATACACGAGAGCACTAACACCGTACATCAGCTCAGAACATATTACTTGTCAGCTGAACAATGAAATCTCCGTCGAACCATCAGTGACCAAAGTTCACTTTCTCAACACGAGACTGAAGATTTATCTCACCATACGCTTGAACGAAGGTTAAATAAACTAGGGTTACACCTTTGTGACAACTAAGCCCACCCAGCCTTCTGTAAATTCGCAGCATAGACCAACATAAAGAACTTTTGGTCATCGATACGTCTAATGCACTAAGGTGCAGAATAAAGGGCGAGAATACTACTAATTTAACTAGGAGTAAACATAAGCAAATGCATTGTTGTTATAGGGTCCCAAAATATGCCTTAAAAGGGTATTAAAATAACAGTCGATAATGGAATGACAGGAAATTCCAATGACACTTTAACAGAACGAATGATAGGAAATTTGGATGGGAATGACACAAAAATGTTGGACCGTCCATGCAAAACAGTAATCAACCTATAATGATTTCTTGGGAAGAAGTCCTACTTTCAGAAAGAGAGATGTTGAAGAGCCAAAATCTATCCCTTCAGGAAGGTCTATAGGGGCCTAGAAACGTCGAGAGACCCCTCATCTAATCAATATTGAATAGGCCTCCCGCGGAAACACGTGGAAAAGGCTGAATCACTTGCAACGATTCTGATTGGATATCCAAATATACCGCTATAATATCTGTTTTGGTTCTCAAACGTTGTAGAGGCACGAGGTCATGAATAGCTCTATAAACTCTCTCACTTCTCTTCACACTGACTGACTACAGAATAAAGCATTTGTTCTGAAATTAGTGCATTTATATTGTGTTAAGTTTTGTAGTGTACATTTAGTACGTGTTTATCAGAAGCGGAGAGAAATTCAGATCTTGCGTTCATTTTTCAAATTTATAAATTATTGACTTTGTGTCATTTTCTCGAATTCATTGACACATCTGATTTATAATGGGAGCACTAGCTAGGAGCTTTATCAGTAAATCATTACGGATAATTGTGCAATGGAGAAATGTAATTCATGATTCCGAATACGTCAGACCGAATAACTCTATTACCAGAAGGAATCCGCAGCCATAAATAAATAGTTTAAATGCAAGAAACCACTACCACTTATGCTTTTTTAAGGCGCTATAGGCTCAGATGAATGTGTTTACAGAAGTGGTACTGTATGATGTAAATAACAATGCCAAACTATTTGAATGTTGAATATAGCCAAAAGGCATTGTATGTGTGTAGAACGTGATGGTTTTATTCTTGTATCTGTACAGTAATATCTACAATGTAACCCCATTTAAAATTGTTGCGATTTCAAGTTGAATCATTATAAATTACTGCTAGGTAGTTGTGATGCACATAAATCTACTCATAGCTGGAGCACTGACTCCGTCATTAGGACACACTCATTATTCTCCACTTTGTCACAGCAAGTCAAAAATATCTCATCGTGTACCACAATCCGAAAATATGATTGGATAATTTTACAAAAGACTAATTTGGTCTTCGTTCCAAAAATAGTAATGGTTACTACGTAGATAGCGAAAAACAACACGTAGATTATTGCGTCGTTTGACGACCATTAAAAAACATCCTTAGAAGTTCGAAAGAATACTCAGCGAGACAAAAAGATACGGATAACACAGAACAAGTGTTTAAGAGCTCCGAACTGCTGTTTAAACAATTTTTGAGAGCTGTAACTATTTGATGACGATTCTTCTTGCTCTAGAATCCCGCTTAAAAATGAAAGTCCATTTATGCACAAAAACGTGTACTTCCTCCTCATAAATGTAATACAAATCCTGCTCGTACTCGAATAGTGAATGCTTGAAGTCTACAAAAAATAGGACTATTCTAATCCTACTCATTGATATTCATTTGATGCTTTCTGGGAATTATTCAACACCAATAAATGTTTGTTCAACACCAATCTTCGTAACTGTTCCTTTATATCGATCGAAACTGTGAGCGTTTACCTAACAGGGGGAATAGTAGTCTTAGAAAAGCATAACAATATATATGATAATATAACGTTGCTATTGGGATGAAACTCAGTTTTCAATAAAACAAGCACGACGTCAGACCAAAAGAATTATTCAAATAATATCCTGTCATTACACTTCGAAAGTAAAGAACAATTAAAATGATTTTTGACACAATCTCAAGGTTTACAGTTACTAGTATTCAGCTCAGTCATACTAAAACCACGAATTCACGGGAGCTAACGCAGGCGTAGGTCCATCGAATGCAGTGCATGATTTTTTAGAACGGAGCCTATAGTACATAACAAAAGAAACAACGCCAACACTTAAACGACAAGCAGATTAACGCACATATAATTGTGGGAAAGGTAGGAATAACATCAGTAAGGCCACCCACCAACCTGTTATAATCATTCTGAAACATCTGTCAATATCACGACTCTCCACGTCAGTCCTAATTCGCTCATCGAATTGAGGTGTTCTGTGCCTTGTGATCACCAGTCCAGATTAATCAAGAACACAGAACATACTGCTTTAATCCACACAGTATATAAATACACAACCTCGATAAAACTCCACAATATATATAATGAATCTTAGAAACGTTAAGCGTGTGATAACCCTTAATTTGAACCACGTTGTATTTTACTACTATTTTTCAAGTTATTATGAGATCGGAAAGTCACTTAACTCTCAATTCTCTCTTTGTTGTTAATCTGCCCGTTTTAAAAAAGATTCCTGATGTCTGGGTCCAAACATCCACTGTTCTTACAAGCTGAACTTCACTAATATGAATATTACGCATTATGCCCAGTTGCCATGCCTTCATGATTGACTTATTGATAAGTTCGT